TTAACAACCGTTTGTCTTCAGACAACAATAAATATTTGTCAACGTTGTTAACAGACATCCTCTGGAGACAGACAGACAGACAGACAGGCAGGCAGGCAGGCAGGCAGGCAGGCAGACAGGCAGGCAGGCAGACAGACTGTTTTCTGATTTGAAGGATCTTTTATAAAAATAAAATAAAATCTACACAATTTAAATGTATTCTTCAATAATTCTTCTTCTCCCACAAACTGTTATATAAACTATAAACTTCAATTAAACTTGTTGTGTAATGACACTTCCTGTTCACTTTTCATAATAAAAGTCCCTACGCTGTGCACTTTTAATTTGAAGGATTACTTCCTGTCTGAAGTTCACTTTATTTTCAGATTACACAAACATTCATCTTCTATTCCACGAGTTTGTCTTTAAAGGTTCCCGCCAAATGAAACAATAATAATATGAACATTAATAACTGTTATTAGCCTGCAAGCTAGCTAATACAGCTGCCTTCACCAAACTCTTATGAAAAAATGTGATCTTTTAAACTGCCTTGCTTAAAAGGTCTCAAGTCAGACGGATCAGACCCGAACTACACAGTCCCTCCATCACACCGTCCTCACCTGTAATTCGGCTCCTATATAATCTACAGATAACGTGTGTTCTGTCTGCAGGAGCAGGAAACTCAACGAGCTCACCGGAGCGGCTGTCACCAGACTCCATAGAAAAAAACACCACTATTACAATGACCTGCCGAACAGCCGGTTTCTGAAGCAGGTGGTTTAACTCTCCACTTCCTGCAGATATAATGGGTATTGACTCCACTTAATAATAACTTTTAACAGCAGTCATTCAGAGGTCGTTTCAATATTAGTCTGTATGTAGAATAAGAGAAAAGCTCAAGAAAAAGAGGCGCTCGATTGCAAGAGCAACCGTAACGAAACTCCTTAGAGAAATCGTTAACTTTTAAACTTTCACGCTCAAATGTCAAAAGACAGAGGGACCACAACCAACCGTACATTTTCTGAAGCAGTAATATTCACTGTTCAGTTCGGCCTTAGTAAAGTCTTAAACCGAACGTGCTTCATTCACTAAACTCTCAACTATTTCTCGGTAGTTAAGGTTTTATATTGACCGCTCGGGTTAAAACCAGCCTTTATTCAGAGGTAGTTTTGAACAGGACACAGACAGTTAACACTCACCCTGTGTTCTGTAGCATCGTTAGGTTCGTGTTGATCCGTTTCTGTTGAACAATGTCAGCCTGCTGTCTGCTCCTCCACCTTTCACCCACTTAAAGATCCTCGAGTCAACAGGAAGTTACACATCACACACTCTGATCCACTTCCGGTCTGCAGCCAAAGATTCTCACGGTGGATGAGATGTCCAACTCAGTTTCACAGTGTATAATATAATATACTATAATATAAAGTAAAGTAATATAATATATTATAATATAATATAATATGAAGTAAAGTAATATAATATAATATAATATAAAGTAAAGTAATATAATATAATATAATATGAAGTAAAGTTATATAATATAATATAATATAAAGTAAAGTAAAGTAATATAATATATTATAATATAAAGTAAAGTAATATAATATAATATAATATAATATGAAGTAAAGTTATATAATATAATATAATATAAAGTAAAGTAAAGTAAAGTAATATAATATATTATAATATAAAGTAAAGTAATATAATATAATATAATATAATATAATATGAAGTAAAGTAATATAATATAATATAATATAATATAATATAAAGTAATATAATATAATATAATATAATATGAAGTAAAGTTATATAATATAATATAATATAATATAATATAAAGTAATATAATATAATTTCGGAAGCCCTAAAGGGCCATGTATTCATACATTTTATTTCCTCCATTTTCCCGTGATAAAGAGTTAATTTTCTCGAGATCTCGAGGTAACGAAACTTGGTTAACTGTGGTCAAGCCAGCCGTTACTCCGATCTCAAATCAGCCACGCTTAAATTTACAGCATATTCACTTCCAGTTTTCAAAATAAAGGTATTAAGAACAGTGAGCTATAATTCGAACCTACATTTAAAATAAAATATGTTACATTAAAGTGTTTCATGCGCCCCTGATGAATAAAAAACATATTTAATATCAAGCATTTTACTGGACCAATGTGGAGAAATGCCAAAACAAAAGTTCCATATTTGTATCTCCAAGTGGCATCTTTTCATATATTTGAGGTACAGTAAAAGCAGGTACAAATATGGAATTTTATTGTTGAATTTCTCCAAATTGGTGCAGTAAAAATGCTTGATATTAAGATATTAAGTATACTTGTATTCTTATATGTGTAGAAGTCAAATATAGTATCCATAGCCAGGAATTGTTGAGCAATATGGTTTTACTGTACCTCAAATATATGAAATTATATTAATAATCTTAATGGACTTGTCTCTGTACTTGTATTATTAGATATTAGTGCTGCATTTGACACCATTGACCATAATATTCTTTTACAGAGACTTGAGCATCAAATTGGCATTAAAGGAACCGCACTAAGCTGGTTTAAGTCATACTTATCAGATCGTTCGCAGTTTGTACATGTTAACGATGAATCTTCAATAAATACTACAGTTAGTCACGGAGTTCCACAAGGTTCTGTACTTGGACCAATACTATTTACTTTATATATGCTCCCTTTAGGCAACATTATTAGGAATCACTCCATTAACTTTTCACTGTTATGCAGATGATTCAGTTATATCTATCAATCAAACCCAAAGAAATTAATCAATTATCTAAATTACAAACATGTCTTAAGGACATAAAATCCTGGATGACCTGCAATTTTCTGATGTTAAACTCAGAAAAAAACGAAATTCTTGTTCTTGGCCCCAAAAACCTTAGAGACTCATTGTCTAAAGATATAGTTACTGTAGATGGCATTATCTTGGCCTCTAGCACCACTGTCTTGGAGTTATCTTTGATCAGGATTTGTCATTTAACTCCCACATAAAGCAGACCTCTAGGACCGCCTTCTTTCATTTACGTAATATTACAAAAATTAGACACATCCTATCACAGACAGATGCAGAAAAACTAATCCATGCATTTGTTACTTCAAGGCTGGATTACTGCAACTCTTTATTATCAGGTTGCCCCAATAAGTCCATTAAAACGCTCCAATTAATTCAGAACACTGCAGCACGAGTACTGACAGGAACTAGAAAAAGAGATCACATCTCTCCTGTACTAGCTTCTCTGCATTGGCTCCCTGTAAAATGTAGAATAGAATTTAAAATCCTCCTCCTCACCTATAAAGCTCTTCATGGTCAGGCCCCTTCATATCTTAAAGAGCTCATAGTACCCTATTACCCCTCTAGAACACTACGTTCTCTGAATGCTGGGCTACTTGTGGTTCCTATAGTCTCTAAAAGTAGAACAGGAGCCAGAGCCTTCAGTTACCAAGCTCCTCTCCTGTGGAACCAGCTTCCAGTTGTGGTTCTGGAGGCACACATCCTCTCCACATTCAAGAGTAGGCTTAAGACATTCCTCTTTGATAAAGCTTATAGTTAGGGCTGGATCAGGTGAGTCCTGAACCATCCCTTAGTTATTCTGCTATAGGCCTAGACTATCGGGGGATTTCCCATGGTGCACTGAGCTCCTCCCTTCCTCTCTCTCTTTCTGCACTCATTCATGTCCCATTAATGCATGTTGCTAACTTCACTTCTTCCCCGGAGTTCTTGTGCTTTCTTGTCTCGCAGGTTCTTATCGATCCTGGTGGAGCCTCCTGCCATGGTCCTGCTAGATTGCCATTGCTAATATCACTGATATTATTGTTATTATTATTAAAAGTATTATTATATAATTATTTCATATGGTTACTGTTTTTGCTGTTGTCACTGCTCATCATCATCAGTCACTACTATTAGTGTAGTTGTTGCTGTGCGTCTGTCTGTCTGTCTGTCTGTCTCTCTCTCTCTGTCTCTCTCTCTCTCTCTCTCTCTCGCTCTCTCTCTCTCTCTCTCACCCCAACTGGTCGAGACAGACGACCACCCACCTAGAGCCGGAGGATCTGTCCTAGGTTTCTGCCTTTTAACAGGCAGTGTTTCCTTGCCCTTGTCTCCAAGGTCTTGCTCATGGTGGTACTGTTGGGTCTCTGTAATTAATGTTTTAAAGAGTTCGGTCTAGACCTGCTCTATTTGAAAAGTGTCCTGAGATAACTTCTGTTATGAATTGGCGCTATACAAATAAAATTGAAATTGAAAATTGAAATTGAAATTTAATCTCACAAACTGTGGTCTGCCGTCAGATAGTCATCGACCCATGTGATGAGGGGAGCACTCACCTGCGTGTTCTCCAGTTTGGCCTTCAGTAGTCCAGGCTGGATGGTGTTGAAGGCGCTGGAAAAATCAAAGAACATTATTTGGACTGAGGTGTTGGGTCTGATTAGTGAGGAGTAAGCCTTCTGCAGCAGGTAGATCAGGGCATCAGCAACCCCCACATGGGGCTGATATGCGAACTGCAGGGGGTCTTGCAATGCGCACACTAGTGGTCTGAGGTGTGCCAGGACCAGTCTCACCATGACCTTCATGGACCTGGCACTCTCTGAAGATGCAGACTGAGGTTGAAGAGGTGCTGGAAAACTCCACAGAGCTGGCTGGAACATGCCTTCAGGTCTTCGGTCCTGTAGTAGCTCCGGGTATATAATATATTGTAATATAAGTAACATCCGGATGTAACCCCCAGCAGCCAATCAGAGCGCAGCATTCACACAGATGGTTAGTGATGTATAAAAGCAGGAAGACGCCAGCAGTTTGTCCTCTGTTTGTGGACAAGTTGACAAATATTGAATGTTGTCTGAATTCCAACTGATAATCCCGAAGCAAAGTCTTTATTGATCCCCCAGAGGGTAACTTGGAGCTCCAAACTGCCTCAAACAAACACAGGAACAACTCACTTTTATCAGAGTTACTGAAAGAGATATTAACTATAAAAGAAGAAATAATTACATTAGTAAACAATTATTGATTTAATGTTAAAATAATGTAAAATATCTACCTATGCTTTGGTGAGGAGAAAGTTAAGTTTCATTTAAACTTAAACCGAGTTTGATACTTCAAATGTTCAATGTAATCCATTTAATTTAAAATTCGTTTATAATTCATTAAAAAAAGACTTTTTTTATTACATTTTTATTTTTATTGTTCGTTTTTTTCGACCAGTTCAACATCTGAAACAAATACAAACAAAAACAAACAAATATAAACAAATACCAACAAATACATATATAAAAACTAAATAAGTGAATAAAAATCACAAAGCACTGCAGTAATATAAATGTATGTGTTTTCCTCCCTATTGATCACTATCGATCTGTTATCGATGATCTGGGGCGTGTCCGCGCCGGCCGCCATGTTCTCCTGTGACGTCACCAAACGGGAAGTGAGCTCGTTGTTCTCCCAGACTGCGCTGCGGTGGGCTCGCGGACCAAAACAACTCTCCCGCTCCTCTTCCTCCTCCTCCTCGTCCTCCTCTTCCTCCTCTTCCTCCTCGCGGACCATGGACGGGTGAGCACGAGGAACCTTTCCCGACATTCCCGCCGTTGTGTTTTCTTCCTTCCTTCCTCTCTCGCGTTTCCTTGGTGACTGAACCGCACCTGCGCGAGCCTCTGGCGTCAAACCCCTCGCTCGTGTTTGTTGTTGTTTACTTGTTTACTGAGACATTTTCCCGCCGCAGACATATCTCCGCTCTCCTCTGGGTCCCGCTTTCCCGCTCCGCGCGCGCTGTTTGTCACTCGTGGGTTTTTCCTGGTTTTGTTTTGGTTGAAAGTGTCGCGAGCGAAGAGTGACGATTCAGCGGCGGGATTTCATTGGTTGAAGTCTCGCGATAACCCCCCCCCCAAACACAAACACACACACACACACACACACACACACACACACACAGACACACATTTTCTGAGTCTGTTTTTCTGTTTTAGTCTTTGAAATATATTTAGGACTCGAGCACTGAAAGTGCAAGACCCTATTGTTCCTGTTAAAATTATTATTATTATTATTATTTGGTGCCTGTTTGACCCCGCAACATTCTCAAAATGGAATAAAAATTTGCACAAAATTCAAACGTAGCTAAAATACCGATATGACATTGTCCCCGTGCACGGGCGCCGCCAAACGTCTAAGCCACGCCCCCAGAAACAGCCCCCAAGACACGTAAGGCCCACATGTACGAAAATTGCTACGCATGTGTATGATGATAAAAGAAGCAGAAAAGCCTCTTGGACCCATGCCCCAAAACCCACAGGAAGTCTGATATTTCAATTTTTAATTTTCATCATTTTGTGGTCATTTTGACTTTTTGGGCTTGTATTTGAACGAACTCCTCCTCCTAGGGAATTTATCGGATCTCCTTCAAAATTGGTCAGTATAGTCAAGACATGGTGCTGAATGAACGCTGTTCAATTTGTAACTGTACGTTGAAGGGCGTGTCTGTGGCGTGCCGTCAAAGTTGGCCATTTTGAAGTCTTTGGTCTTGTATTTGAACAAACAAACTCCTAGGGAATTTATCAGATCTGCTTCAAAACTTGACAGTACTCTTGAATAATATTGCTGATTACAAGTTGTGCTATTTATGACTGTACGTTGAAGGGCGTGTCCGTGGCGTGCCGTCAAAGTTGGCCATTTTGAACGAATTTCACACTGTGATGTCATTTTTGGCATTTCAGGGCTTCTATTTTAACTAACTCCTCCTACAGGTTTTATTGGATCTAAATCAAAATTGGTCAGTGCAGTCAGTTTTTTTCGTCCAACATTGTGCCCGTGGCGTGCAAAACACATTGTTGATTATATGTGATCACTGCGGTGAGGGGGCGTGTCTGTAGCGTGGCGGGAAATTTTGATGTACCGCCACAAAACACGAATTTGCTATAACTTGAGTGTACATTGTCCAATCCGCTCCAAACTTCACATGTCTGATAAGAGTCCCGCCCTGAACACATAATGATAGCGCCACCTAGTGGCAACAGGAAGTAAGTGCTGCAATGGCGATTTTGAGCTGATTTACGTGAGATTTTCATGTCGTGGTCCGCACGTGTTACGACGGCACGTGACGCGGCCGCAACACGCCCCGAGTTGCGTGGAGTGCAAGGTCCCGTCCAACGCTGCTTGCAGCTTTAATTTTATATGTCGCCGTTTTTAATTTAAGCGAACACCTTTAACACTTAATTGTTAATAAAAGAATATAAAATAATAAACGGACATTTTTAGTTTCCAAAGTTTCTTCAGTCGGGACTATCTTAACTTAGTATACTAGTAATAGTATTGGTCCAAGTACAGAACCTTGTGGAACTCCATGACTAACTGTAGTATTTATTGAAGATTCATCGTTAACAAACTGCGAGCGATCTGATAAATATGACGTAAACCAGCTTAGGGCAGTTCCTTTAATGCCAATTTGATGCTCAAGTCTCTGTAAAAGAATATCATGGTCAATGGTGTCAAATGCAGCACTAAGATCTAATAATACAAGTACAGAGACAAGTCCATTGTCAGAAGCAGTCAGAAGGTCATTATTAACTTTAACCAGAGCTGTCTCTGTGCTATGATGAACTCTAAATCCTGACTGAAAATCCTCAAATAAACTATTGTTATGTAGAAAGTCACACAACTCTATGGCGACTACTTTCTCCAGAATCTTAGAGAGGAAGGGGAGGTTAGAAATCGGTCTATAGTTGGCTAAAACCCCTGGGTCAAGAGTGGACTTTTTAAGAAGAAGAAGAAGAAATTAGTTCAATCTGACACCAGGCCTTTTATAGGTCACTGATCAATCAATCAATCAATCAGTCAATTAATCGATTGACTGAAAGATAATAAATGAACATTTTGATCAATTAATCGTCTGAACGTGCAGGAACTTTTTTTATTGTATTTTATTATTTTTATTTGTTCACTGTAAACAGAACAATTATAAAATTTCTATATCTATTGATTATTATTTCTGTATCTATTGATTATTATTTCTGTCTGTAGGAATCAGTGTTCACTTCGTCCTTCAGCTGCTCTGCGAACATGAACAACTCCAACCTGTCCACAGGTGAGCTAGCCATTTATAGTCGGGTAAACTCAGGTGTTACTGACAGTCACTGCGTGTGGAAAGGTTCTGCTGCACTAAATGGAACGGAGCCTTTGTGTCATTGAGTGTCACAGAAACGCTGACAGCAGCGTCATTTACTTTTTATCTCATATTTATGACTTTTAGGTTTTAAGTTCAATCAGCACTCATCTTTAATTACTCTGTGTGTGTGTGTGTGTGTGCGTGTGTGTGTGCGTGTGGTGTGTGTGCGTGCGTGCGAGCACAGTGGATGGCACTGATAGGCTGTGTGTTTCTGAGCGCGCTCAGTGCGTCCCGTCTCAGGTCCTTCACCTGCGTCAGCTTCCTGCGGACGTCTCTGAACAGGAAGTACTCGCTCTGGCGCTTCCTTTCGGCCGAGTTAGTAAACTGATAACGCTGAAGGCCAAAAACCAGGTAACTGCTAGCTGCTAACTGCTAGCTGCTCACACATTGACGATGTTCAGTTTCTTAATTATCTGTTTATAAATTCAGTAAAAGCCTTATTGGTAAAAATATATTCTATAAATATATTGATTCTATATTTCTATAAATGTTGTGATTCTGTATTATTTTAGTTAATATCACTGTTATTTGCTGTATTTGTTAATAACTAATAATGAACTTAATGAAACAAAAACTAAACAGAACTGAAAAGTGAAAAAACAGATTTTAATCACATAAAAAGTCCTTATTAATTTTCACAGTTTAGATTTTTGTAAATTGAAAATGTTTTAGACTCATATATTTCTCAATGAATGACACATTATTTAAAGTAATTGTTTAATTAGGGACCAAGCCAGCGACCCTATTGTATATTTGTTTATTATTATTCTTACCTGTTATTATTTTTAGCACTTTCGACTGCATTTTGCCCCCCTGAACATATACGAAGTTGTCAGGCCTGGTGACAAATTTGATATTCTATGCGTCTTTTTTGGGTCGGCCACTAGGTGGCGCTACTATTGAGAAAAGTATTTTGACTTTTTTGTTACTTGGTAACTCCCACATCGTTTGTCACACATTCAAAAAACGTATATCCACGCGTTCGGTGAATGGAGCTGAATCTCTCCATATAGGCCCCGCCCACTTCCGCCTATAATTTTATTTCGTTAGAGCGCGAAATGTCCCTACTTTTTCGTGATCCTCCTACACGCTTTGTCCGATTCACACAACATTTTTCACCTAGCACCTGGGGACTGCCGTGGCAAAAAGAGTAATTTGAACATTTTTGAAATTTCAAACAATAAGCACGCTATAAAATTCAAACTTCCTGTACATTTTTCGTCAAAAAAGGAAGTGGACCATTTCTCCACATTGCTATGTCCGATTGTCACCAAACTCGGGTCCATAGTTCCTCATGTCTTCCTTACGCACCGTGCACAATTTCAGACCATCACCACTAGGTGGCGCTCTTTAAAATGAAGAAGTTTATATCTCCGCATTGGCACGTGTGATTAAAATGAAACTTGGTACGATGCTTGCCCATGGCTCCCTGAGGCTCACCTAAAAAGGAAAAAAAATCTCGCCACTAGGTGGCGCTCTTTTGGCATGAAAAATCACTGTGCACTATGAAATTCACAGGGCACGTGTAGAGCAGTGCCTGAAGCTCACATACCAAAAATCGTGTTTGTCCTGTGTGTAGCGCCCCCTACAGGATAAAAAAAAAGCAGCCCCGGCGCCACGTTTCACCGATATGTACGAAACTCGGTAGGCACGTGTAACATGCCGGGACGTACAAAAAAGCCTCTTGGACCCATACCCCAAACCCCACAGGAAGTCGGCCATTTTGATTTTCACTTTCGGCGAACTTTTCGCGTTGTATTTGAACGAACTCCTCCTAGGGAATTCATTGGATCTACTTCAAAATTTGTGAGTAAACTCAAAAAATGGTTCTGATTAAAAGTTGTGCTATTTGTGCATGTACATTGAAGGGCGTGTCTGTGGCGTGCCGTCAAAGTTGGCCATTTTGAATTCCATGGTCATACAAATTAGATAAAATGTTGAGCTATTTGTGACTGACACACCACGTGCCAGTGACAACTTGTTGAATTCAGCCGATTTGCCATAAAACAGTGCTCATAACTTCAGTGTGCAATGTCCAATCTCCAATAAACTTCATATATTCTGTAACAGTCTCACCCTGAACACGTCCTCATAACTTCAGCGTACGTGGTCCAATCTCAATGAAACTTCACGGGTTTGATAAGAGTCCTGACCTGAACACTTCTACACGTCTGACAATATTCAGACATAGTGATAGCGCCACCTAGTGGCAACAGGAAGTAAGTGCTGCATGGCGATTTTGAGCTGATTTACGTGAGATTTTCATGTTGTGGTTCGCATGTGTTATGACAGCACATGACGTGGTCGCAGCATGCCCCGAGTTGCATGGAGTGCGAGGTCCCGCTCAACGCTGCTTGCAGCTTTAATTAATTATTAGAATAAGAGCTGGTTTATAGTCAACGCACCATTTACATTTTTGATTAATCAAAATTTAAATACAATAATGTAATAGAATTTATCACAGATAAAACAGTTCAGTCTTATTTCTCATTCAGTGAAATATTAACTATATTTGATTGTTTTTTTAATGATGTCATCTTTCCACATTTTAAATGTTTTAGATATTTGTCTTATTTTTTTGTGTAAATCTTTTTTTATTAATATTTTAGGGTTTTTTAGAAATGGCGTCGGAGGAAGCGGCCGTTACCATGGTGAACTACTACACCTCGGCCCCGCCCACCATCAGGAACCAGCCAATCTTCATTCAGTACTCCACCCATCGCGAGCTCAAGACCGACAACCTGACCAATCAGGTGAGGAGCAGCAGCTCGGCCCCGCCCACTTCAAAGCATCGTCATATTTTAATGTGGAGATAAATATATTTTAGGAATGAATGAATTAAATAATAATGGACGACAAAATAAAGAGATCATGTGCTGATATTAATATTTTCTAAATAAAATGACAATAGTTAAAAGTGATTTTATTTCATTAATTTAGGAAATAACATTTTTTTTTATAAATGACAAACATATTTAACCTATTATTAATATAATATTAACATGTAATTGTATGTTGACAGCGGATGGCTCTGCACGCCATCAATGCAGCAGCAGTGCATTCTGGGAACATGGCGTCAGGAGGAGAGGGGCGGGGTTTAGCTCCCAGTCAGAGTCCCGTCCTGAGAATCATTGTGGAGAATTTATTTTACCCGGTGACTCTGGAGGTCCTGCAGCAGGTTGTACCAATGCTTTTATTATCACACTAGTATTATTATTACTTATTATTACTCATTATTACTGTGTTATTACTTATTATTAGTGTTATAACTCATTATCACTGTGTTATTACTCATTATCACTGTTTAATTACTGTGTTATTACTTATTATTCTCATTATTACTGTTATTACTGTGTTATTACTCATTATTACAGTTATTACTCATTATTACTGTTACCTGTACCTCTGGTTTACCGTAGCTGTGGGACCCTCAGTGCTACTGACCCAAACACTCGACTCCACAGATGTATTAATACATAAATATATATACATATACCGACTGATTTCATAGAGTTTTTATATTCAGATATATGGACAGTAGAAAATCCGTGTATCATTCGTTCTTTTCATATTTAATTGAGATTCCAAAATCGGAAAATGAAAAAACGTTTTTTTATTTCCTTATTCGTTTATAAATCTGATACCAAAAAACAAATAACGGTTCATTTTTTGTACTTTCGATTTATTGCTCAGATAAAAAATAGGAAATGAAATAACGGGCCATGGATTGATTTTGATTTTGATATTTAATTTTTCCGCTTTTTATGAACCGGAAGTTATTGTAACTAACGTTAGCCTTCAAAACTGAGGATCAATCGATTAAGGTCACGCTGAACACAGAATCTTCTTACACTCATTTCAGAAATATCGCTGGATATCCATCTGCTGTAGCGTAGTAGAAATCTCTACATGTGTCTTCCAGTTTCAAATAGTCTTAAGAGTACAATCACTGCATGATTGACTTTTTTCAGGCTTTGTGAAATTGCGGCAAACTTCTAAGTGCAACACATGAAGACGACAATAACTTCCGCTTCACACAAATCGGACAAATTAAATATCAAAACCAAAATCGATCTGTGGCCCGTTACTTCATTTCCTATTTTTGATCTGAGCAATAAATCAAAAGTACAAAAAATGAACCGTTATTTGTTTTTTGGTATCAGATTCATAAACGAATAAGGAAATAACAATAACAATTGGTAGAATTTCTTTTTTGTCTCTAGTTACTTCAGTTCACACTCAAAATGTGTGTTGGTGCATAAAATATAAAAATCACACAAAAAGAAAGTAAAGACATAACAGCGGATATAACGCTCAAGAGAGGACAGTATGTAGGCTTACAGTCTGTCTGTCTGTCTGTCTGTGGAGCCCTTACAGTCAAGAAGGCCTCAAGCAGTGAAGCTCTGGCGACCCCTATTGGGGGTCTAACAACCAATCCCTCATTTACTTTTTCTTTTGTCTTCTCGGCTTCCTCCGTCAGCGTCTGGTTGAATGCATAATAAAGTTTTGTTTGTGTCCTCAGATCTTCAGTAAGTTCGGCTCCGTGTTGAAGATCATCACGTTCACCAGAAACAATCAGTTTCAGGCTCTGCTGCAGTTCAGTGACACCGTGCACGCTCATCACGCCAAGGCTGTAAGTCACGTGCACGCTTACACAAACACACACACACACGACTGTCGCTGTGGTCCAATGAGACGGCAGCTGTCTGTCCTCCTGTCTTTCAGTCTCTGGACGGTCAGAACATCTACAATGGCTGCTGCACGTTGAGGATCGACTTCTCCAAACTGAGCGCGCTCAATGTCAAGTACAACAACGACAAGAGCCGAGACTTTACCAGAGCCGACCTCCCGACGGGAGAGCTGGACCCCGCCGCCGCCTTCGGTAACGCCCGCCGCACACGGATCTCAACTGACACACAGCAGAAGATTCAGTCAGGACCGCACGCAGTTTCAGAGGATCTCCCAGAAACAGTTAGCTTAGCACGAGAGCTTAGCACGAGAGCTTAGCTTAGCATTAGAGGTGTCAGTACTTCACTGTGAAAAGTTAGCTAGTAGCTAAAGGTCATTGTTTATTGATCATCTGATCGGCTACAGCTTCCAGTTTGGTAAAGTATAACAATATATATAGGACCAGGTCCTGGTCCTGGTCCTGGTTTATGGGATGTGTATGAAACAGGGTTACTGACTGTGACCTGTGTGTGTTCCAGGTGTGGCTCTCCCTCCGTACGGAGCAGCAGCTTTCCCTCCAACCTTCCACCAACACACAGGTGAGACGCTACCTGAACTCTGTGCTCAGGGTTCAGTAGAAGCATCGTATTCAAGTATTTAAAGTAAAAATAAAGTTATAAAGTAAAACAAGAAAGAACGATATACGTATAACAACATATATACTGTGTGTGTATATATATATATATATTGATACTGCTTATTATAATGATAATATATTAATATTAATTACTGCATCAGTTTTAAATAAAGTTTTATTGTTTCTCTGTTTGTGTTTTTATTCTGTCTTTTAAATAAAGTTTTTCCCGTCCTCAGGTCTGTCGATGGCGGCCGTCCCCGGCTCATTGGTGTCTCCTCCTCGCGTCTCCCTGCAGGTGGCGCCTCCTGCTGTCCACTCGGTGCTGCTGGTGTCCAACCTGAACCCAGAGGTCAGAGGTCACGCACACAGTCACACAGCAACCGACCAATCAGAGCACTGCTAACTTTATTAACACTGTTTGTCTCTGCAGAGCGTCACACCTCACTGCCTCTTCATCCTGTTCGGTAACGTATTGATCATTAATACATTCAGTCATATATATATTGATAGTTAAATCCATATTTGATATATTGATCATTAAATCTATATTTGATATTAATCCTAAATTTATATATGATATATTGATCATCATCATTATTGATGATGGATCTGGAGTCTTTACTGGTTGCAGGTGTTTACGGGGACGTTCAGAGAGTGAAGATCCTCTTCAATAAGAAGGAAAACGCTCTGGTTCAGATGAGCGACGCCACTCAGGCTCAACTCGGTCAGACTCTCATCCATCCATCCATCCATCCATTAATCCATCCATCCATTCATCCATCCATTAATTCATCCATCCATTCATCATCCATTAATTCATCCATCCATTAATTCATCCATTCATCCATCCATCCATTAATTCATCTATTCATCCATCCATCCATTAATCCATCCATCCATTAATTCATCCATCCATTAATCCATCCATCCATTAATTCATCCATCCATTAATTCATCCATCCATTAATTCATCCATTCATTCATCATCCATTAATTCATCCATCCATTAATTCATCCATTCATCCATCCATTAATTCATCTATTCATCCATCCATTAATCCATCCATCCATTAATTCATCCATCCATCCATTAATTCATCCATCCATTAATCCATCCATCCATTAATTCATCCATCCTTCCATTGATTCATTCATCTATTAATTCAACCATCTATTACTTCATCCATCCATCCATTAATTCATCCATCCATTAATTCATCCATCCATTAATTCATTCATCCATTAATTCATTCATCCATTAATCCATCCATCTATTAATTCATCCATCCTTCCATTAATTCATTCACCATTAATTCAGCCATCCATCCATTAATTAATTCATCCATTAATTCAACCATCCGTCCATCTAGTAATTCATCCATCCATCCTAAATTCATCCATCCATTCATTTATTCATCCATCCATTAATTCATCATTCATCAATCCATTAATCCATCCATTAATTCATCCATTCATCACTCCATTAATTCATCAATCCATTAATTCATCCATCCATTAATTTATTCATCCATTCATCAATCCATTAATCCATCCATTAATTCATCCATTCATCAATACATTAATTAATTCATTTATCCATTAATTCATCATTGATATTAGTTATTGATCGTGTGTGACTGTATCTATAGTATATTGATTATATTTCTTCGGGCAGCGATGAGCCACCTGAACGGTCAGCGTCTCCATGGTAACGTGATCCGGGTGATGCTGTCCAAGCACCCGGTGGTGCAGCTTCCTCGTGGGGGGGCGGGGCAGGAAGAACAGGCGCTGACTCGGGACTTCTCAGGCTCCGCCCTCCACCGCTTCAAAAAGCCTGGATCCAAAAACTTTAACAACATCTTCCCTCCGTCGGCGACGCTGCACCTCTCCAACATCCCGTAAGATATCACATATATCTAATCAATATTATTGATTCATACTAAGATATAGCCCAATGTTTATTATCACATATATCTAATCAATAATATTGATTAATACTAAGATATAGCCCAATATTTATTATCACATATATCTATCAATATTATTGATTCATACTAAGATATAGCCCAGTGTTTATTATCACATATATCTAATCAATATTATTGATTCATACTCTGCCTCCGTCCTCGTCGGGTAGCTCCTCCGTCAGCGAGGACGAGCTGAAGGATTTATTCTCCTCCGCTGGATTCACAGTGAAAGCCTTCAAGTTCTTCCAGTGAGTAATCAATTCATCTTTATTGATTATTGATCAGAATACACTGTATCTTTATTGATTATTGATCAATTCAATTCAATTAAATTTTATTTGTATAGCGCCAATTCATAACAGAAGTTATCTCAGGACACTTTTCAAATAGAGCAGGTCTAGACCGAACTCTTTAAAACATTAATTACAGAGACCCAACAGTACCACCATGAGCAAGCACTTGGAGACAAGGGCAAGGAAAAACTGCCTGTTAAAAGGCAGAAACCTAGGACAGATCCTCCGGCTCTAGGTGGGTGGTCGTCTGCCTCGACCAGTTGGGGTGAGAGAGAGAGAGAGAGAGAGGCAGAGAGAGAGAGAGAGAGAGACAGACGGACAGATAGGCGCACAGCAACAACAGTATTGGCAATGGCAATCTAGCAGGACCATGGCAGGAGGCTCCACCAGGATCAACAAGAACCTGCGAGACAAGAAAGCACAAGAACTCCGGGGAAGAAGTGAAGTTAGTAACATGCATTAATGAAACATGAATGAGTGCAGAAAGAGAGAGGAAGGGAGGAGCTCAGTGCACCATGGGAAATCCCCCGATAGTCTAGGCCTATAGCAGCATAACTAAGGGATGGTTCAGGACTCACCTGATCCAGCCCTAACTATAAGCTTTATCAAAGAGGAACGTCTTAAGCCTACTCTTGAATGTGGAGAGGATGTGTGCCTCCAGAACCACAACTGGAAGCTGGTTCCACAGGAGAGGAGCTTGGTAACTGAAGGCTCTGGCTCCTGTTCTACTTTTAGAGACTATAGGAACCACAAGTAGCCCAGCATTCAGAGAACGTAGTGTTCTAGAGGGGTAATAGGGTACTATGAGCTCTTTAAGATATGAAGGGGCCTGACCATGAAGAGCTTTATAGGTGAGGAGGAGGATTTTAAATTCTATTCTACATTTTACAGGGAGCCAATGCAGAGAAGCTAGTACAGGAGAGATGTGATCTCTTTTTCTAGTTCCTGTCAGTACTCGTGCTGCAGCGTTCTGAATTCTGAAGAGCGTTTTAATGGACTTATTGGGGCAACCAGATAATAAAGAGTTGCAGTAATCCAGCCTTGAAGTAACAAATGCATGGATTAGTTTTTCTGCATCTGTCTGTGATAGGATGTGTCTAATTTTTCTAATATTACGTAAATGAAAGAAGGCGGTCCTAGAGGTCTGCTTTATGTGGGAGTTAAATGACAAATCCTGATCAAAGATAACTCCAAGATTCCTGACAGTGGTGCTAGAGGCCAAGTTAATGCCATCTAGAGTAACTATATCTTTAGACAGTGAGTCTCTAAGGTTTTTGGGGCCAAGAACAAGAATTTCGAGTTTAACATCAGAAAATTGCAGCTCATCCAGGATTTTATGTCCTTAAGACATGTTTGTAATTTAGATAATTGATTAATTTCATTGGGCTTGATTGATAGATATAACTACGTATCATCTGCATAACAGTGAAAGTTAATGGAGTGATTCCTAATAATGTTGCCTAAAGGGAGCATATATAAAGTAAATAGTATTGGTCCAAGTACAGAACCTTGTGGAACTCCATGACTAACTGTAGTATTTATTGAAGATTCATCGTTAACATGTACAAACTGCGAACGATCTGATAAATATGACTTAAACCAGCTTAGTGTGGTTCCTTTAATGCCAATTTGATGCTCAAGTCTCTGTAAAAGAATATCATGGTCAATGGTGTCAAATGCAGCACTAATATCTAATAATACAAGTACAGAGACAAGTCCATTGTCAGAAGCAGTCAGAAGGTCATTATTAACTTTAACCAGAGCTGTCTCTGTGCTGTGATGAACTCTAAATCCTGACTGAAAATCCTCAAATAAACTATTGTTATGTAGAAAGTCACACAACTCTTTGGCGACTACTTTCTCCAGAATCTTAGAGAGGAACGGTTAGAAATCGGTCTATAGTTGGCTAAAACCCCTGGGTCAAGAGTGGACTTATTAAGAAGGGGTTTAATTACAGCTACTTTAAAGGACTGTGGTACATATCCTGATAATAAAGAAAGATTAATCATATCCAGTAAAGAAGTGCCAATTAAGGGAACAACTTCTTTAAGCAGCCTAGTTGGGATCGGGTCTAATAGACAGGTTGATGGCTTCGATGAAGAAATGATGGAAGTTAACTGATGAAGATCGATAGCAGAAAAACAGTCTAAATATATATCTACGTTTACAGTGGCAGAAGTCCCTGAACTTGGAGAGCCACTGATAACTGTTGATGGCAGTTGGTGATTAATTTTCTCTCTAATAGTAATAATTTTATTATAGAAGAAGCTCATGAAGTCATTGCTACTTAGGTTTATGGGGATATGTGGCTCAATAGAGCTGTGACTCTCTGTCAGCCTGGCTACAGTGCTGAAGAGGAACCTAGGGTTGTTCTTATTTTCTTCTATTAGTGCTGAGTAATAGGCTCCTCTGGCATTACGGAGGGCCTTTCTATAAGTTTTAAGATTATCTTGCCAATTTGAGCGATATTCTGATAATTTGGAAGAGCGCCATTTCCTTTCAGATTTCCTAGCTATTTGTTTTAACTGGCGGGTTTGGTGGTTATACCAAGGTGCTAGTCTCCTATGTTTTAATAATTTCCTTTTTATAGGAGCGATAGAGTCTAATGTTGATCGTAGTGAGCCTGTAGCACTATCGACAAGATTATCAATTTCAGAGGGACTAAAGTCGTTATAGGACTCTGTTAAATTCAGACATGGCATTGAATTAAACACTGAAGGAATCTCCTCCTTAAATTTAGCTACAGCACTGTCAGATAGACATCTGCTGTAGGAAGTTTTGCCTAATGGCTTATAATCTAATAGTATGAATTCAAAAGTTATTAAATAATGGTCAGATAGGAAAGGATTATGTGGGAAGACTATTAAATGTTCAATATCAATGCCATATGATAAAACAAGGTCAAGAGTGTGATTAAAACAATGAGTTGGTTTATTTACACTCTGACAGAAGCCAATTGAGTCTATTAATGATATAAATGCATTACTAAGGCTGTCATTGTCAACATCCACATGAATATTAAAATCACCTACAATAATTACTTTATCTGATTTAAGGACTAAGCTTGATAGAAACTCTGAGAATTCAGATATAAAATCAGAGTACGGTCCAGGAGCGCGGTACACTATAACAAATAGAACTGGCTGCAGTGTTTTCCAGTTTGGGTGAGAAAGACTAAGAACAAGGCTTTCAAATGAATTATAATTTAGTTTAGGTTTAGGGTCCATTAAAACACTCGAATCATATATGGCTGCCACTCCACCTCCTCGGCCTGTGCCTCGAGGAATGTGAGTATTAATATGACTGGGGGGGGTGGATTCATTTAGGCTAACATACTCCTTGTGGGACAACCAGGTCTCAGTAAGACAAAGTAAATCAATATAATAATCTGATATTAATTCATTCACTAAAACAGCTTTAGAGGACAGAGACCTGATATTTAACAGTCCACATTTCATTCTCTTATTTTGTGCTACTGAGGAGTTGGTTTTAATTTTTATTAGATTTTTATGTTTAACTCCTCTTGTTTTTATTTCTTTAAATAGTTTAGGTGGTCGGGGGACAGACACAGTCTCTATGGGGTTTTGGGTGGGTGACTGTTCTAAAGTAAGCCAGAGAAGTGTGTAAGACAGCAGCTCTGCTTCCTGGTCCTAACTCTGGACTGTCAGGTTTTAGAGATAAACTTCACCATATTTCTAGATAAGAGAGCCGCTCCATCCAAAGTGGGATGGATGCCGTCTCTCCTAATCAGACCAGGTTTTCCCCAAAAAGGCTTCCAGTTATCAATGAAGCCCACATCGTTTGCTGGACACCACCTCGACAGCCAGCGGTGGAATGACGACATGCGGCTATACATGTCATCACTGGTCACATTGGGGAGGGGTCCAGAGAAAACTACGGAGTCCGACATTGTCTTAGCATAATTACACACCGACTCCACATTAATCTTAGTGACCTCCGATTGGCGTAAACGGGTGTCGTTACCGCCGACGTGGATAACAATCTTACTGTATTTACGTTTATATACGATCAGTATACACTGTATCTTTATGGATTATTGATCAGTATACACTGTATCTGTATGGATGATATTGATCAGTATACACTGTATCTTTATGGATGATATTGATCAGTATACACTGTATCTTTATGGATGATATTGATCCTGTATTGACAGTCAGACTGTGGACATATGACGGCCTTTAGCTCGTGTTTCTAGAGTTACGTGTTGTTACGAACACGTTAGGAATTGTTAAAATGTGATATTTCTTAAAGGGAGTTTGGTGCAGGGAGCTTTTAGTTGGATTCAAACTGCTGATATGGATCATTGTTAACGTTTAGTCTCCACTACAGAAACACTAGCTAACTGCTGAAGGCTGATCAGGTTGATTAATGCTTTATAAATGGGAGTATTGATTACTGATCAGGCTGATCAGAATCAAAACCGGCAGTCAGAAAATTGTTCAATTTCATTTCAAACTCTAATAGGAAGGACAGGAAGATGGCGCTGATGCAGCTGGCGTCAGTGGAGGAAGCCATCGAGGCTCTGATCGCTCTGCACGACCACCAGCTGGATCACAACCAGCACCTCCGAGTCTCCTTCTCCAAGTCCACCATCTGACCTCTGCGTCTCCAAGTCTACCATCTGACCTCTGCGTCTCCAAGTCCACCATCTGACCTCTGCGTCTCCCTCTCCACCATCTTTGACCCTCTGCTGGAGCTTTTTGTTTCCATCTGACCCTCTTTATCTGACCTCTGACCTCTGGAGCTGACTATCCAGCCAGACTTCGGGGCCTCTGATTGGCCCGTAGTGGGAAAAAACGGACCAATGGGAGAGCCCCGACACAGCCAAGCTTTCTGTGCCTACAAACACTCTGACATCACAGTGACAGGGGGCGTTGCCATGGTTAAAGAGGTTACAGAGCACATTCCTGAGCGCCCAGTAGCAATGCATTGTGGGCAGTGGAGTCCAACGAGGAGCTGATGTGAGTTGAACTGTTTTTGTCTCAATATTTAAATTAATGTGACACAGAAAAAAATGTTTTTAAAGTAAAAATAATTCCTGTTTTTTCCCAAATGATTGAAAGATTCCATATTTTATTGTCTTTTATTTTGGAAGTTTCTCAGCATGGATAAAAAGAATTGGTCTTGGAAACATCTGGTTATTTATTTTTGATTATTTTTCACTGTAACTTTCTGCAAAAAGCAAAATGAAATCATTTCCTCCTGTTTTCCAAAAGTTTTTACATTTATTTGCCTTTTTCATTGTGTAAATTATAAATTATAAATAATAAATAATAAACTGCCTTTTCATAAAGGTCTGAAAACAAAAATCTGTAAAATTTAACAGAAATTTTTGAAATTTTGCTGGGTTTTTTTTCAGGAACTTTGACTAATTTACTCTGATTTTCATAAAGTTTTTGAATCTTCAGCAACGTGTCTTTCCCACCGGCACCTCATGCTACGGTCTGATTGGCTGAAATTATTATTATTATTATTATTATTGTTATTATTGTTATTATTGTTATTATTGTAGAATTTTAGGTGGCTGTGATCTCAACCTTCTTCTGTGCCTTATTTTTCTGAATTATTCTGCTGGTTTTTGTTTTTTTACGTGGTGTCTGGGTGGCGTTTCGGTGGCGGGTTGCGTCAAACTGACTGGAATTTTTTGTAGACTTTTTTCACTTAGTTAAAAATAATTTTTGTTACACGTCGTATTGTTGGTATATATATTTTGGGAAGGTTTTTTAAATCTTGAATGTATTTATACTGTAGAAGATGAAACAGGTAACGCTTTCGACGTCCCGCCCACCTGTCGTACCTGCGTGTGTGTATTTATACGTGTGTGTGAGCTGAGCTGAGATTGGTTGAAATGTCCCACCTTCTTTTTTTTCTATTAAAATTAATTCAAAGCAGCTTTTGTTTTTACATTATTTTTGCTCCACCGTTAAACAAACACTGAAGTTGATTTTATTTTATTTGTTTGGACTTTTTTTGTTGGAATAATTTTCAGGAAACAAGCCACAAAAAACCCAACAGGAAGCTGCTGATTCCCAGTTTGCCTTCTGACCTCCGACCTCCCGACCAGTTGATTGGGTTCAATGTTTGAACGGGAGGCAGCGGCTGAGCGTTGCTCACTGTGACCCTTCAGGGGCTCCGTACAAAACATTACATTTTTATATTCAGATTTTTAATTTGAAAACAAATTTTTAAATAAGATTTCGAGATTGTGAAGCCTTGAGAAGAAACGGGGGGCGGGGTCAAACCAAAGTTTGCGTGCCTTTTAATTGGCCAACTCATTCTTCCATTGTGACATCACTTCCTGTTTAAATGGCCAGTGTTGTAATGAAACATAATTTAAGGTATAATTCTGTATTTTATGTTTTCATGTCTTCAACCAACAAGTGAAAATATTTTAAATGTTTTTTGTTCCTTTTCGTGACATCACTTCCTGTTTCAGGCCTACAGCGACAACTTCTCAAATAGCCCCGCCCCCATCCACAGGTAGCCCCGCCCATCACACCACACTTCCTGTGATGATGTCATCAATCAGAACCAGAGCGAGTATTGAGTGGGCGGGGCTAATCTCAAATCATTAATTTAAGCCAGAAACTGATCTGGGTCAATCAGAAATTGCTATATTTATCAATGTTATTGATCACAAACTATTTGTAATTTCTTAATAAAAGTCCGTTTATCTACAGCTACTCGTTATGTTACGGTTGTTTACTGATTTGTATTATTATTTGTGTGTTACATACGTGTACACTATAAAACCAGATCAATAATTTAACTCATAAAATAGTTAAAAACCTTCCTGATTAAGCAGCTTTAGTGATTTTAGGGACTGTTTTTGTAGTTGTTTCCACTCAGTGTAATTACTTTATAACAAACACTACATGCTCCGATATAACACAACGTACGAATGTTTGTTAGCTTGTTGTACTTTATTACGAGTATACGACGTCACAATGTTTGTAATAATTATGGATTAATGTGACATGAAGATATGAAAACATAAAACATCCCTTAACTATCTGTATTTTAACTTATTGAAACTCAATAAGTTAAAATATGTCAACAGTTCGCAGCTCGCTGGACTTCCAACCCCAAATTTACTTTGAAGGTCGTTTTTCAACCCGAATGTATCTTTTGTTTCTTTATGCTAATGAATGTAAAGTACTCGTGGTGCATTGTGGGACATTATTATTGTTGTTATTATATGAAATATTTTTAATATCGAACCATTGCATGGGGGGGGGGGGTCTTTTATCTGTGCTTGATTCAGAAACAAAATGTCTGTTGAATTTTGATTTATTCTGAAAGTTTGACAGGAAGTTGTAGCATGAAATCACTGAATAAATAAATCATCTGACAACCAATGGCTGGCCTCTCTGCACCCTCTCAGCCAATCAGATTGTGGCACGTTTTCAACGAACAACACATTAAAGTTCAGCTTTTGAAAGGATAAAACTTTATTGTTCCTGTTGACACAATCCTTCACTGTGATTGGTCGGTTCGCAGACTACAGCAGACTGTAATTAAAAAAACAACAACTATAAACAAATGTGATCCCACTGATCCTATTGGACGACAGTGCCGGGTTCGTCCGACTGAAGCTGATGTCATCAACCGAACCCAATGAGGCTAACAGCTAACAGCAAAGCAACATGGCTTTAAAAAACACACACACACACACATTCTCTCTCTCTCTCTCTCTAACGACTGCAAAACAAAAGGATCTTTTTTTTAATCTTTAAGTTCTTTTTCATTTGGTCCTGTTTACTGTGTTTGTTTACTGTTTACTGCATTTGTTTACTGTTTACTGTGTTGATTTGAGGTTTGAGGTGAAATGTGTCGAACGTTAGAATACTGGAGCTCATCAGTGCTGAATCCTGTTGGAGGAAGCTGAGGGTAAAAGGGTTTTTTCAGGGTTTAAGTTTTATAAAAAAACGTAAAAAAGAAAAACAGATTCTCAAACCAACATGAATTCTCTTCGTTCATTGGCCGAGTCTTTCGGGTTTTGTCACGGTTACCATGGCAACTCAACATTTAATTTCGCTATAGAAGCGCATCCACTAGAGAAAATAACAACAGTTTTGTGATGAAGACTTCCTGTTGTTAATGTGAGTTGGTAACGAGAACACACCGATGTCATTATAATTACACCTTCTTCGTGGTGAGATCCTATTTCAGACTCGGAGCCGAGGGCGGCTGTGATCGGACTGAATTACGTCGTGGAGCAGACTGAGTTCACGTTTCTTCCCGGAGGAACTGGAGAGACATGTTCAAGTACAAATAAACAATGTCATAAACAGATTTTATTTTTCATCCATTTTATAATTCAGATCAACTAAAGATTTTATTTCAGGATGAGATATTGATTCCGTAATGCCAAATTAATAAATATCAGTTATTTTTCCTAATTATTAGATGGTTTGTAAAGATTACGACGTTCAGACGACTGAAATTACAAAAAACTTTTCCACTTTTTTCATCTTCTGAAATTCTGAACTCAACAAAAATCAGCCGAACAGACAGAATTCACTCTCTCTCCTGATTGGCTGATTGTATTCACATTTGTTTTTCACTCACAGATGGGCCAATCAATAGCCTTTATATTGACGATCAATTATACAGGTTGTTATCTGCACTCAACAGAGGAACAAACAGAAACATTTTCTTCTTTTCAGGAAGTAAACAGGAAGTCTCTTCAGCAGACTGAGGAACGAGACAGCAGCTCTCAGGATTTATGATTAAAGCTCCAGTGTCAATTACTGTAATATAACATTATTACTGTAATATATCATTACTGTAATATATCATTACTGTAATATAACAGTATTACTGTAATATAACAGTATTACTGTAATATAACAGTATTACTGTAATATATCATTACTGTAATATATCATTACTGTAATATAACAGTATTACTGTAATATAACAGTATTACTGTAATATATCATTACTGTAATATATCATTATTACTGTAATATATCATTATTACTGTAATATATCATTATTACTGTAATATAACATTATTACTGTAATATATCATTATTACTGTTATATTACATTATTACTGTTATATTACATTATAACGCTCACATTCCTCTCGTAGCAAGAAGTTTACTTTAGTTCCTGGTTCTTCCAGTTAAAGGTGCAGCTGCACTTCCTGAAATCCTGAAACAGTTCCTGTGCTTGTTTCCTCATAATCAGAATAATTACACCACCTGGAGTCATAAACAGAAAATGTCTCTGCTTTGTTTCCTTTGCTGAACGCAGCTCTTAGTTTTGTTTTGTTTTTTTCTCAGAATCTATGGAAGCTGAAGGTGGAATTTAACCACAGGCTGTATTTCTGAGGGGAACGCACTACACACCAAGTAAATACTATAAACTGTGGTTACATTATTTCAGCTCTCTTTTCCTTCCATACAAACACTTCAGAAATCAGCCAATGAGAAGAGAGAATCCTTCCTTCTCTCTCCTG